GGGTTCCCCCCCACACACACACAACAAAGCAATTCTTGAACACCAGTGATGCCGGGGTTCTTGTTCGCGGAGTCGAAGAATGAACTTCACACACAACCAAGGTAGGAGAGCCAGGGAGAGGCTTTTATTGAGAGATACAGTGAAAGGACAGAGCTCCTGGCTCATGCCAGGAGGGGACAAGAGAGTCCAGGATGGTGCATTGTCTAGGGGATTTATAGATGATTGAGGATTTTTGGGAACTGAGGGCTTAGGGTATGGACTTGTACCACCTGCTCTGCCCTCAAGGTGGGCTGGGTTGTTGTCTGTTTGCAAGGGCTGTTTACAGTGAAGTCAAAGGTTATGCTGGATACCCTTGTAGAACACTCAAACGTTCCAGGCCAAGTTGCTCCTGGCCTTTTGACCCTTAACTGATCTCACTGAAGATGTCTATATTCCTAGTCTGGTATCTTCACCCTAGAGAATTAGTGTTACCTTGACTTTGCAGAATGCTTAACACAGAGTTCCATAGGGACTTCTTTACGTTGTTACATTACTTTGACTGTAAATATCCTGCCCTGCTTTTTCTGGTGGCCCTCACCCTACTCTGACTACACCCACAGTCCCTGTCTCACCAGCAAGGTGTCACAGAACTTAATTCTGATGCCATCTGCCTGGAGACAACACTAGATTCCCCAGGTTAAGTTCTCTGTTCTACAAGACTGCCCTGTACCCCCTACTCCAGATGCTAGTCTCAAGCCTCGGACTTTATTACCTGTGCTTCTGACCTACCAGCTATAGATTGGAGGTTCCAGCAACCTCCCACTTAGGTTCAATTAAGTTGCTAGAGCTCAGGAAAGCACTTATGTTTACTAGTTTAGTAAAGGATACAAGTTAACCACCAGATGAAGAGATACACAGGGCAAGATCCCAAATAAAGGGGCTTCTGTCCTCTTAGTGCTTGGGGCCTGGCTCTGGGGCATGTGGAGGTGTTCTGGTTCTCCAAGGGTAGAAGTTCTCCCCAACAGAGACACAGGATGCAAGAGAGCGATAAGCTCTTCTTAGGGGTTTATGTGAGGGCTTCATTGCATAGTCATAATTGACTAAATTATTGTCCACTGGCTAACTCAACCTCCAGCCCCTGCCCTTGGGTGGGATCTAAAAGTCTCAATAACATGACAAAACAACCATTTCACCTTAGATCTGCAGTGTTTTCAGGAACTGCAGATGAAGACCAAATATACCTGGAAAATATATATTTGGTCATATGAATGACCAAATACGTATTTCTTACGACTCATTATATTGCACTACCAATGTTCTAAGAGCCAAAGGGTGCACTTGGTAGAGACTCAAAGGACTGATTAAATGAATGTTATGATAAACCATGTTAAGGTTAACTGTAATCAAGAGTAATGAATATACAAAGTGTGCACCTGTATACCATTCTTTCTGAATGCCATGACCTACGTTTGAACAGGTACCACTGAGTAGAGAATTGAAGTACCACAAGACCAACATTGAGCTCACATGCCTATAAGAAATGGATAAACACAGGTACAAATGGTGTTGCAAATTTTAATTGTATTTCTTTTTAAAAAAAATATAAGACTTTTTTTTTCAAAGTTCAAGAGGTACAAATGGACATAAATAAAACACTCCCTACCACCCTAATCCTGCAGCCATCCTGTTTTCCTCCCCAGATTCAACTAATATTACCAGATTTTTTCTGAAAGCATTTAATTTCAGAGGGATTTTTTTTTTGCATATTGATAGTTATTTGAATACTATACAATGACTGTGCTTCATTTTCTCCACTTATCAGTCACTGCTTTGACTTCACCTGTGTTGTCAATTACTCTGCTTTTACCCTGGAGTCAGTGATCTTTCTAAGCAAGGATCATTACTCTGGGGCTTATGTGTTTTTAAATTAATGAATTGATTAAAAGTACTCAGAGCTAGTCTGCTTATTTCAATCACAGTTAAGCCTCTTTTTGTTGCCTCAGCAATCTTAACCAGCTCATTAAGACATCTTCCCAGTTTTCCTTTAGATAAAACATCAGGTTTCTACTGTGTCACTCCAGTGTGCCAGGTGCTGTGCTGAACACTTTAGCATATCATCCTATTTAATCCTTACAGTGACCCTGTGAAGTTGGCACCATTGTGATCCCAGTTTTACAGATGAAGGAATTGAGGCCTAAAGAAGTTAGATAACTTATCCAAGCTTATGTATGGGAAGTGGCAGAACTGGGATGTGAATCCAGTCTCACTCAAGAACCTCAGCCATTGAGTAATTACTCTGTACTGCCCCCCAAAGAATTCAATTTTATGAAAGGAGATTAAAGGGACATTTCCTAGATGGTGATAAAGCCAGACCTAACAGAGTTTGGGTTTCCATCCAGAGCTAGGATCTGCCTATCCTAGGTTTTTCTTTTACCAGGTGATCATGCAAGAATTACATGCATGTTTCATCCAGGTAAAGGGCAGAATGTAGAAGCCCATATAGAGCTAGAAATCCATAAATCCAGAGCTCAAAAGAAGAGAAGGGCTCTAAATATAAATGGAATGTCAACCCAGACTGTACACAGGATTGTGGAAATCGGTGGAGTGAAAGTATCTCTTGTGAGAGGTCATCTTAGGTTTCTTTTGTTAAGGCCTTGTTGGGTTCATTGTTGTATCGTTTCAGCCTCTGACCTCCATTGTCCTAAAGAATCAGGACTAAAATCTTTCATCTCTCCTAGAGTTTGGTCTGCTACAATGGTTTTTCCCAAAAAATGCCTTGCTTTTCTGATGGACTTAAGCTCTCTGTGAGTGTCTCAAAGGGATAACCAAATTAATAATATATATAGTGTCTGGTACAGCATGGAGAATGTAATCAACGATTCTGTTACATCTTTCTATGTTTATTGATAGTAACCACTCAGGATGGGATGAGGATTTAATAATATGGGTAATTGTTGAACCACTGTGTTTTGCCTGAGGCAAAATTTATATACTACTGTTTTATTCTGGAGTACAAAACCAGTGTAAGGGTTTGATTTTAAAAGAGAAAAACTTAATACAAAATAATGAATCTTCTCTTTTATTGTTCACAGTTTGGCCCTGAATTTTGTATCCCAGAAATCCCTAGGTGTGTAATACTAATGATCTTTTGAAGTCTGGCTTGAGATGTAGGGACAGTGTTTGCAGAAGAGATGGCAAGTGAATTGTTACTTATGAAAAATTTAAGTGTGGCCTCTCTCATACCTAAAAAAAAAAAACAAAACTTTGAGTTGATTTTTCTTTTTACAATTAGAATGAAATTTATCCAGATATGTATAGGGCTAAGTTATAGGAAAATCATTCTATGTAGGGTAACTTAAGAAAGGTGAACATTCATAGAGAAAACAATGTAACTTCATACCATTATATCGAACAATATTAATAAACACATAAGGGGACTTATAAGATAAGGACTTTACTTTAAAATGTATCTGGGTAAAACCAAAGATTAATTCCTAAATGTATTTGTTGAAATATTTTATTAAGAATATAACATTTTGAAATATGGAAAAATGTCTTGTTCTTGCAAGGGTTTTTCATAGCACAGTAAACGTGTTTTTCATAACATGGATGAGCTAGAATGTGGCAGATAGTTTGGTGTACATACTGTTTATATTGCTTTATTTTGTTAAAGTGAATATTTTATTGTGAATTTAAAGTGAATATGAATATTATATGATTATTACAAAATATGTTACGATTTTTTTGTTGTAATAAGCATGAGCCAAGCTGAATTTATGATTTCCAGAGTCAGCTCAGTAGGAAAGGGGAGCCTATAACCCACTGTTGGTTGAATTTGGATCTAGAGCTGAAGTCCAAGGTATTATGTAGAACCAAAAAAGTAACAGAATTAGAGGCTTATTTAACACATCACTTTTCTAACATGAATATTGTTCCTGTAGCTCTTTTTACATAAAATCCAAGGTGAAATCAGGACAAAGGGAAGGGTTCACTTCTCTAGACTTTTCTATTTTTTCATAATCAAGAGTGAGGTTTTTCAGTGAGGATGGAAACAGTGCTACTAAATACATAAACAAAATACATACTTAATATCCTACTGAAAGACTGAGTTCTGCATTCTTTTTATTTATATTGTAAATTTATACAAGTGTTTAGAGACTTCTGAAGTAAATATTTTGTTTCTTGCAGGAATTATCTAGACAAGACAGATGCTGTAAAAGTAAGAGTATATAAACTACTTTTTAGGGTACTTTAGTTCTCTCAGTTTTATATAGGTCATGAATACTTGGCTTTAGTATAAAATTACAGTTGATCCTTAAACAATGCAGGGGTTAGGGATACCGGCTGCCTGTGAAGTCAGGAATCTTTGTACAACTTTAGACTCCCCAAAAATTTAGCTACTAATAGCCTACTGTTGACTGGAAGCCCTGCCAATAACATAAAGTCAATTAACACACATTTGTATGTTATATGTATATATATTTCAAAAAGTGACCTAAAGAAAAAAGGTTTTTTCAAGTTGTCACAGATCTCCAAAAAATTTTCCAATATATTAAAAAAAAAATCTGTGTATAAGTGAACCTGTACAGTTCAAACTCATGCTATTCAAGGATCACCATTTTAGGCTAGATAATAGAAATGTTTATGTAAACTTATGCTATGAATAAATTATTTCAATAACTCAAACTAAAATAATAATGATAATGCTAGTTTTTATATCTGCCTCTATTTTAGGCACCAACTATAGACAGAATGCAGCTTGATAGTTTTTGATCCAAAGGGTAAATTATTTATTACTTAAAAAGATTATTTTGACTACCATTTTATTCTAAATATTAAGAAGATATATCATCTACTGGAATGGCTAAAAGACTTAGCAATTAAATCCTTTGTTATATTGGATGTTATTCAAAAAATGCCTAAATATTTGCCAAGCAGGAATTTTTTTAGGAACATTACTCTTGATAAAATATTGAGGTTTTTTCTCTCTCTCTCCCTCTCTCTCTCTCTCTCTCTTTCAGAAAAAGGGATGATTGAACCAAATGAAGCAATGTCAGAGTAAGAAGATTCCCGGGTTGTGCAGCTGATCTCACAGGCCTTTTAAGCAATTAGAACTAGATAATGCAACCATTTGTCATCCAATTAAATTTGAAACGCCAGTAATGCATGGATTAGCACTTTAGCTTTGCTTCAGTCAAAGCAATTATTACTTAGATAAAAGGATTTTTAAGATGAAAAATGAATTTTGGTGAAAATGTGTATGTCTAGATAATACTTACCTTTTTTAATGCTTAAACCTAAGTATTCTGTATTTTGCTTACATAATTTTAATTGCTCATTCCTTTTCCACTTTGATACTTGCTCATTCCCTTCAGAATATCCTTTTAAATGAATATTTACTTTAAAATTAAACAGATTCCTTATCTATATGAGATGAAACATTACTAATAAATAAGGAAAATAATCACCCCAACTAATTGAAGAGATTGTTAAATAAATCACGCTTCAGTTTCAATTTAGTAGCTAAATATTAAGTACCTGCTTTGTTTCAAGTCACTGATTCTGATATTTCATCAAAGTCCTTCCTGATTTGATCACCTCCACTGACAGAAATATTCTATTTGTTCCATGAAAAATTACACTTTGAAAGTTGATTTTAAAAACACATAGAGATCAAATATTAACAGATGATTGGCCCCATTCAGGTATGATTCTATTCAAATTGATATTATTTTGACTGGGAAAAATTCTACCTTATGCAACATTTAAAATTTCATACTATGAAAGCTAAAAATTAAAGTTAGAGCCCACCTTGACTTTTGCTGTAAATTATATATTAAATAGATAGTCTGTATTAAAGAGAAAGTAATATATAATATATCAATGACAGAGAATCTATGTTTATTTCAGATTGTTTTAGACAACCAGAAAAAATAAACATTCTATTAAGCATATCAGTCTATATGTAAAACATTTAAATATAAAAATCTAAGAAAATTATAGTAGTCTCTGAGGGAAATATATAACTTTAAATGATAATGATGGATGTTAGTATGTCATTAATGAAAATAAATTACTATTGTATCTATGACCACTGATCTTCAGAGACTATAATAAGCAGCATTGAAACTGGAGCACGGGGTGGTCTCTTGAGGTAGTCAAATCCCAGGGATCAATCCAATGCAGCATTGGCCAAAATGAAATGCATAGTGATTACTTGGTCACTCCATCTCATTAGTCATTGCATCTGTTTATCAAATTATTTTTTGCAAGGCAAAAGCATCAGGTTCCCTTCAGTTCATATGGAGAGAAGAATTTCGGTTTGGTTTGGTTTGGTGGTGGTTTGACGTGGGGGAGAAAGAGTGATGGTTAGTGTAGCCAGTAAGCTTCCCAGGTGTGTGACATTGTGACATCAGGTACCTTACCCAAAACTGACGGTAATCGGGGCCAGTCCTGGAAAAAAATATCAAGTAGGAAAACAGAAATCATGGGGGACCTCTGCTTGGGGGGGGAATATTATGACTAACCTACAAAGTTGATGGACTTTTTTTAGTTTATTTTCCATTCCATTCCCCATCCCCTACTGGCTCCATAGTCTGACTGGCAAATGGAATTTGCTATAAGGTCCTATCCAAATTAGGTTAGAGAAAATGAGAACTTTTTTTTCCCTACCAGTTCTTTGCCTTAATCCTCTCATTGATTCTTCATTCTAGTCTGAGCCACACTGAGTGTGTATGTGTACTTTATAAACCAGGAGTTTCAAACCTCTCTGCACACAAAGCCCACATTTTTCATTTCCTTTTTTCCCCATGGATCCCATGTTTGAAAGATTTTGTCCACCCAATAAATTGCACCTAATTAACAGTTTTAAGCAATAAAAGTAAAATCTATCTTTAATGGTGGTCATTGTTTATATAGATCTTGTGCCTTCAGTCTCTTGGTTTTTTGGTCATGCTGTTAAGCATACTTAAAGATGTGAGGGGGAAATGGCTGAAGCAAATCCACAGCACTCAGTTGTAGCTGAAAAATTATAGGTTATTCCATATTCATGTTTTATCTTAGCTAAAATGAATGACACTTTTTATTTCCGTTTTTATATTGTAAGTAAATACTTCTTTGGACACAGACTAAGATTGGCAAGCAAACTTTATACCTCACCAACACAAGTCTCTTTAAATGTAGCTAAGACATTCTCAGAATAAGTTTTAGTTATACTTTTAAAATAAAATTTAAAATAAAAACTTCCTGAAAAAATATTAATTTCAATAGAAATTTTGGGGCATTTCATAAATATGCTGAATGCTCTTAACCTAGGTTTTAGTACTGTTCCTTAGTGTGTTATCCACCCTCTAGTGTAAATATGTTCTGGTGGGACATCTAACTTGACTAACTTTCCAACCTTGGTAGACACTAAAATAAATACCTTCCAATTCCAAGGGATATTATACAAAGTAAAAATTTGAAACTTTCCTCAGTTGTAGCTATTTAAATTAAACAGACCTTTTATAGTATACAGGTAATCTCTTTTTTTTATATGGTTAGGAACATTATTACCGTAAAGAACACTTTCTCAAATGGAGGCCAATAGATTATAGTTGAAGAGGTTGGAATTTTGGCCTTTGATTTTTTTTTCTTTTTATTCATTTTATTATCATTAATCTATAATTACATGAAGAACATTATGATTACTAGATTCCCCCCTTCACCAAGTCCCCCACACACACCCCATTACAGTCACTGTTCATCAGCATAGTAAAATGCGGTAGACTCACTACTTGTCTTCTCTGTGTTGCACATCCCTCCCTATGCACCCCCCACCATTATACATGCTAATTGTAAGGCCCCCTTTCTTTTTCCCTGCCCTTATCCCTCCCTTCCCACCCATCCTCCACAGTCCCTTTCCCTTTGGTAACCATTAGTCCATTCTTGGGTTCTGTGATTCTGCTGCTGTTTTGTTCCTTCAGTTTTTCTTTGTTCTTATACTCCACATATGAGTGAAATCATTTGGTACTTGTCTTTCTCCACCTGGCTTATTTCACTGAGCATAATACCCTCTAGCTCCATCCATGTTGTTGCAAATGGTAGGATTTGTTTTCTTCTTATGGCTGAATAATATTCCATTGTGTATATGTACCACATCTTCTTTATCCATTCATCTACTGATGGACATTTAGGTTGCTTCCATNGATGAACCTCCATACTGCTTTCCACAATGGTTGAACTAATTTGCATTCCCACCAGCAGTGTAGGAGGGTTCCCCTTTCTCCGCAACCTCGCCAATATTTGTTGTTGTTTGTCTTTTGGATGGTGGCAATCCTTACTAGTGTGAGGTGATATCTCATTGTGGTTTTAATTTGCATTTCTCTGATGATAAGCAATGTGGAACATCTTTTCATGTGTCTGTTGGCCATCTGAATTTCTTCTTTGGAAAACTGTCTATTCAGCTCCTCTGCCCATTTTTTAATTGGATTATTTGCTTTTTGTTTGTTGAGGTGTGTGACCTCTTTATATATTTTGGATGTCAACCCTTTATCGGATCTGTCACTTATGAATATATTCTCCCATACTGTAGGATACCATTTTGTTCTATTGATGGTGTCCTTTGCTGTACAGAAGCTTTTCAGCTTGATATAGTCCCACTTGTTCATTTTTGCTTTTGTTTCTCTTGCCCAGGGAGATATGTTCATGAAGAAGTCGCTCATGTTTGGCCTTTGATTTTTTAAAACTGTGTATGAGAAAGACTACAGAAAGTGAGCAAAAGAGTAATTCATATTTTGATGTTAAAATGATTTGGCCAAATCTCATATCTATTTTTATGGGATGTTTACTGCTTCTGAATAGTAATATCCCATTTATCTTCAAGCCACTGAGTATGTATGATTCCTCCATGTTGTATCATTAAGATTATTAAAGGTATTTCCAATTATTTAAATATTCAGAACTGTACTAGCTAAATTCTACTTCTTAGGGATATAACTTGTTAGTATATAAGTACTTTGTTTCATAGATTCTAAAGCACACACATTTCCCTCATATTTTAACATCTCTTAAAGTTGATGCATCTTAAACTTCAAGCTCTACTCCAAAGCCACAGTAATCAAGACAATTTGGTACCGGCACAAGAACAGACCCATAGACCAATAGAACACACAAGAGAGTCCAGATATAAACCCAAGCATATATGGTCAATTAATATACGATAAAGGAGCCATGGACATACAATGGGGGAAATGACAGCCTCTTCAACAACTGGTATTGGCAAAACTGGACAGCTACATGCAAGAGAATGAAACTGGATTATTTTGTAACCCCATAAACAAAAGCAAACTCAAAATGGATCAAAACCTGAATGTAAGTCATAAAAACATAAAGCTCTTAGAAGACAACAGGCAAAAATCTCTTCACTATAAACATGAGCAATTTTTTCCTGAACACATCTCCTTGGGCAAGGGAAACAAAAGCAAAAATGAACAAATGGGACTACATCATGCTAAAAAGCTTCTGTACAGCAAAGAACACCATCAGCAGAACAAAAAGGCACCCTACAGTATGGGAGAATATACTTGTAAATGATACATCTGACAAGGAGTTAACATCCAAAATATATAAAGAACTCACACACCTCAACACCCAAAAGGCAAATAACCTTATTAAAAAATGGGCAGAGGATATGAGCAGACAATTCTCCAAAGAAGAAATTCAGATGGCCAGCAGGCACATGCAACGATGTTCCACATCACTAATCATTAGGGAAATGCAAATTGAAACCACAATGAGATATCACCTCACACCAGTTAGGATGGTTGATGTAGAAAAGACTAGGAACAATAAATGCTAGCAAGAATGTGGAGAAAGGGGAACCCTCCTACACTGCTGGTGGGAATGTAAACTAGTTCAACCATTGTGGAAAGCAATATGGAGGTTCCTCAAAAAACTAAAATTAGAAATACCATTTGACCCAGAAATCCACTCCTAGGAATTTACCCAAAGAAAACAAGTTCTCAGATTCAAAAAGACATATGTACCCCTATGTTTATTGTAGCACTATTTACAATAGT